CAAGTGGTAGAGCGCTAGCCTTGAGCTGAAGAGCTGAGGGACAGCGCCCAGGCCCAGAGTTCAGGCCCCATGACTGGACCCAAAAAAAAAAAAAATCCTAGCAGGTCACATGACAGCCCAACCCAATTTGAGAAGAAATAAATTAAATGATCTGGAGTTTCTACTGTCAAGTTGGAAGTAAAGGGTAAGATCCGATCTCTGTGGCATATTCCTCATTTTCTGCTTGACAAAAAAAAAAAAAACACAAAGAGTACTTATGAGATTTGTCCTCTGTTATTAAAGTGAGATGATTGCTTCAGCCCTTCTAAAATGTTTTGTAATTTTAATTTTTCACTAATGACATTTTTAATAGACTCCATGATAAATGGCTGCCAGAGCCTGGCTCTCAGCAGTGTTGATGTGTGGGCCCAAAATGAGAGCGCCCCTAGTGTTTTTACACAGATTGGAGTCATTTATCACCTAATGCTGGGGCCAATGTTCATCTCTGATCTACAAGCATTTTTTTTTCTCCAGCTGTTACCAAAATCTGTCCTTGCCCACCCTGGCATCTCTTCTGAAGATCTGTGTGTGAGGATCTAATTTGCAGGTAGGGGTGTAAGGAATGATATTATGCACTCCTGCACAGAATCCGAGAGGAAAACTCCAATCTGCTCTCACAGGAGACTCTAGAGTGGGAAATAACACCATAACTTTTGCTCCCCCAGTAACAACTTACTTATAGGCAGGGTTCTGATTAATTTGGAGATACCCTTCTTCATTTCACCCTACTGTTGTCAACCACCTAGTAATTCAGCTAGCTCTGTCAAATGAGGGCTTTGATGTTCCCATGCATGAAAGGCAACCTGGAACAGATTTTGTTGTTCTGATTTTAACCCATCACTTCCTCTGACAGACTAAGAAAGTTCAAAAAAAGAGGAAAGAAGGAAGTGAGTGGAGAAGCAGGATATTGGATAGCTCTCATACCACATGCACTGATAAACTATGAGCTGCTAGCTATGCTTACATGAATGGTACAAAAACATTCGAAGTTTCTTATTTGTGATTTCATAGTTTCTTTCATTTACTCATTCATTACCCAGTATCTGAGCTAGACACAAGGAATACATGTATGACTAATTATGATGGAGAATATCTTATCTATAATTTCCATGAAGTCATGTTACCTCTTCATTATACATGCATGTATGTGTGGACACACACACACACACACACACAGTAGAAGATATAAAGTGTAAGTAACTACCTTCTGAATAGGTCTGGAGTTGCCCAACCAATACAGCAAAAACTGAAAAACTGCAACTGCATCAAATTACAAAGCTTAAAAAGAATGACTAGAATCAAGAGACAACACAGAATGAGAGAACATTTTCACCAGCTATTCAATGGACAAAGAGCTCAGATCCAAAATATACTAAGAGCTCCAAGAACTAAACGGCAAAAAGAACAAACCACCCAATTAATCAATGGCCAAGTGAAATGTATACCGTTCTCAGAAATGCGACTAGGTGTTGGATACAGGAAGAAAGGTTCAACACCCTTAGCCATAAAGGAAATGCAACTCAAAGCTTAACTATTCCATCTCAAGACAGTCAGAACGACACTTGAGAAAACAACCAGCCACCAATACTCCTGAGTATGTGGGAGAAAGAATTCCTGGGAGGCCAAAGTTTCTCACATTCTTGGTGAGAATATGAACTAGTACAGCTGTGGTGGAGAGGTAAAATTAGCACAACCACTATGGAAATCAGTATGGAGGTCTCTTGAAAAATACAACACAGTTTCAAATAAGATTTTTCAGTCATAAAAAAATGTTTATGGCTGAAAAAGGGAAACAATCCAGAGGTCACTCTGATAGTCTGTATTGTTAAGCACACGAGTTAAGTGATATGTAGGGTACAAAAGTGAATGTTGATGAAGAGCTTAAAAACCAGGCTCATAAGATTCCTCAGCAGGGGAGGGAGGCAGGTCAGGTGTCACTCCATAGAGAGGGCTTCCAGAAAGATCCATACGTGGTAGGGGCCCCAGTGGGAGTGGAACCAAAGTCACCTGGCGGGCCACAGACTCCTCTCCCCCCCCTCAGCATTTCCAGGTGAGGTCTAGAGAAACCTTAACAAGTCCCCAGCTGAAGAGACACTTCTGATCCACAGACAGACGTCGTAGAACCTGGGTCAGACAGAAGCCTTCCTCCCACAGGGAGGATTAAGTGATCCTCCCTGGTCTCACCAAGAGGAAGTTGTGAGCCTAGAGACCCGTAGGGAATCCAGGCCTCATGCCAACTGCAGTTGTCAGGTTGAACCATGAGGAGACAACAGGAAGGGTGCCGTCAGACGCCACAGCCTGGGCATGTTAATTATCCACTCCAGTTCCCTGAGAGTTCCTGTGTCCACAGGAGGCCCTGGTCCACTATCCTCTGGGATCTTGCGCCCTTGAACCATCACGGCTCAGCAGGTCTGCCTGCTCTGACCTTAACTCGCCATCAGTACCAATGGCTCGGTCACTGGGTGAACAACAGATTCTGTCCCTTGAAAACACAAAGAACCACCAAGTCTCTTTAGCCGAAACAAATGTGGGACTTTTCACAAGGAATTGGAATAGAGACACACACAGTTTCCATTCCAGCTTTAAAAAAAAACCAAAACAATAAAATATCCACAACAAACAAACTAGCTTATTAGCTTGGCTTTATCACCGTTTACCAATTGTTGTAGGCTGGGTAATAACGTCCCCATGGAAAGAGGTTGAAATCCTAGATTCCAGTGACTCAACATGTGGTCTCATTTAGAAACAGAGTTGTGATAAAAGTCACCGAAAGACAACTTCAGTCGTTATGATAGGCTTCATCCATCCACACAACCGTGGAGACCCAGATAGAGACACAGGGTGGATGGTGACATGAAGTCTCACACTAGAGGAGGCTGACACGGGTCACGGAGGACTGGAGTGGCATGCATATTCCACCAGGGTCACGGAGGACTGGAGCGGCATGCATATTCCACCAGGAATGCTCAGTGTTGCTGACTGCCACACAGAGCTAGAAGGGACAAGAAAGCAGCCTGCCCCATTCACTCTGTAGGGAGCGAGGCTCCACTGACCTTTATAGCCTCCAGATTCCAGCCTCTACAACAGACAGCTGTTCCCTGTTGTTTTGAGTCACCCAGCAATGATACCTGCTGGGTCAATGCTAGTACACCAGTTCTTGCGCATGCCCCAACCCATACCTCCTGCATTACAACTCCACCTGCTCTCTTGTCCTATTGAGTGCCCTTTGCAATCAACCTACCGGGCACTTATCCTCAAACCACATTTCACAGAAAGGTTTATTTTGTACTTTGAGCAAATGATAGGACAGGGCATATTTTCCTTACAGTCCCCTGTTTTTATGTGGGGAGGAGGTGGAAGCATAAAATTAGCTTTGGCCACCCACATCCAAGTGAAAGGCCAATCAGTGGCGATGCAACACCTGCCAGTCTCAAGCCTGACATCTGCCAATCATCTAGCCACCCGCCTCTTCCTTCCGCCTACCTTGTCTTCTCTTCACAGGAGATATAAGGAAGCAGGAAGCTCATGGATGGCTGAAGTTACAATGGGAGTTGTTTGAAGTCATGAGAGCCAGGGTCTTCCCCCATCCTGTTAGTATTTTAAAAAGTCAGAGTTAGTTGGAATCCATGATAATTGGATTTATGACAGGAGAGGAATATTGGGAGGCTCCCTACAGCAGTGTGGTGCTCAGAACCTGCTGTCACCTGCAAAGGTAGCATATCCACCCACACAGCATGGAGAACAGGAAGCGGAGAGGCATTTCCCTTAATTATATCCTAATTAAGGACGGAGTAAGGGCATGCTTCTATATGGGTGAGAAAACTCAGAAACCCAATCATTAAATCCCTACCCCACAACTGCTTTTAACTTCAACCCTTTGTCTTTAACCACTTATTTTCTTCTCCCTTTCATGGAAACAGAAAAGGATAAAGGGAGAAGAAGGGGAGAGAGAAAAACATCAAGGTATATGGAAGCCATCAACACCCACACAACCAGGCCTCTGTACTGCCTCCAGACATTCACAAAAAAAAAAAATGGCCAGTCTGTGTTTTTTTTTCCTCTATATGGTATTAGTCAATCTTGTTGGGATACTAGGCTGTGAAGTTCTGAGACATCTCACACAACTTGAATCCTCATAGTCTTTTTTTTTACATACACAATCTCACAAAAGTGAGGAGAGTAAGCAAATAAGAAACCCCTACATCTTCATAGAACTATATCTGAGACAAATAATAAGATGATAAATAGCCTACAAAAAGAACTAGCTTGAGAGATTTCTTGTCCACGTTTCCCCATAGGATCTTGGCTAGGACCCTATTGGGGTTGGATTTTCTCAAGAATCAGATTTAAATTATCCAATTGCACAGTGAACTTTTCATGAAAGCTTAGTCCTGGGGGAGAAAGGGACAGGGGTCCTCCAGGAACCAAGTTGACTGAGCCCTCGCGGTTGGGCCAAACCAAAAGCCAGGCACCTGAGGTAGAACTTCTCACTCCATCCTTGAGAACAGGGCTTCCAGGAGGCATTTGTTCCATTCTTTCCCAACATTCTGAGAGGCAGTAACTTGCCTGGATCCCGCCACACCTCCACAGATGGCAGAACACGATTTGCTCCCAGAACTTGCCGATGCTAGAGGGAGGGCTCCCGAAGTCTACAGGCTGCTGTAGTGAGTGTTCCCTACAACAAACCTGAAGAAGGCTTCCATGGAGCAAAAAACCAGCTCCAAGGATCCCAGGCTGTGGAGATGACTCGAATGTGATTGCCTAAAGCAACACAGCTGCAAAGCATACATCCCAAAACCCAAACCGTTTGCAGAGACCTTCCTTCCACCTGCAAGCTGTAAAGGCATGTGCGAGAAGCCAAGGCTGCCTTCTGTGTATAAAAGCAGCTCCCAGCAGAGGGGGCTGGGGCTGTTGAGTGAGGAGGAAGTGTGGCCAGGCCAGGCTTGGTTTCTCTGGGCACCATGCAGTTGCTTTGGTTTATCTTGCTCTGTCTTGCATTGTCTCTTCCCATGAGCGGCCAGCATGTGCCAGAGTCAATCGATGATTCTGTGAGGCTCCACTGTGGCCCACGCAGTTTTAGGCTCACTATCAACCACAGCCACACAGCAGAGAGTCGGATGCTAACAGCTTGGGGTAAGTCCACGGCCACACCTGGCCTTGTCTCTGCTGCCCACGGCCCCTTCCTCCTCTAACACACTCTGTGGCGCCTGTGGACCAAACAGACTGTTCAAAGTAGAGGTTCTTCTGAAGCTGAGTGGCCTGGGGTTGTTCTTAGTGGGTCTGAGGTGTCTGGGTTTGTGATCCACCTGGGACCTGCATGGCTGTGTCTTCCACCTTGTAGACAAATACGGGATGGTGTACAGGCTGCAGAATGACTCTGACTGTGGCATCTGGGTGACGGAGGGCCCCAGTGGCTCCATGGTGCTGGAAGCTGCCTACAGCGGCTGCCTCGTCATTCCGTGGGTAAGTAAGGCTCAGGGGCGTGGACGAGGGGGCTGACTCCTGCCCTCAGCCTGGCTGATTCCACAGCGTGTTCCCGCAGGGCTCCTCCTACACCCTGCTGGTGGAGGTGAAAGAGGCAGCTTTGGATGGGCCCACACTGGCCAGAGAGAGGAAGGTGTTCCGGTGTCCCAGACCCATGGGTGTGTCAGGTAAGGGCTGTCAGCATGGGCTGGGGGGAAGGGAGCGGAATCTAGAATGTTCCCCTAGGCCTCCCTACCTGCTTCCTGCAGCCACACCTGAAGCTCGTGAAGAATGATTTCTGATACTCTCTGCCCTGAGACCACAACTCTCCTCTTTCCTTCCCTGGACCTCAGTGGGGCTTCTTGGTGATTTCACTGGGGAAGCGGGAGGGGTGTGGAGCCTATCCAAATTCAGAAAAAACCTGCCTGAAGATCAGAGCTCAGTCTCAGATTCAAGCTCAGCACTTGTTGTTCTCAACACCTGGCTGCTCAAACCATAGCCAGGGTGAGTCATACTGAGCAAGTGACCACCAGACCCCATCCCAGACTAAAAACCCAGTCCTGTGTTTATCTGTGTTTTTGTGCTGGTCCTGGGGCCTGAACTCAGGGCCTGACCACTGTCCCTGAGCTCCTTTTGCTGAAGGCTAGTGCTCTACCATTTGAGCCACAGCGACATATCAAGCTTTCTCCAAATAGTTTATTGAAAATAAGAATCTCACAGCATTTCCTGCCAGGTCTGGTGGCTTGGACCCACGATCCTCAGATCTCAGCCTTGTGAGTAGCTAGCTAGGATTACAGGTGTGAACCACCAGCACCTGGCTGTGTTTTAAAGAGGTCCAAGGCGAGCTGGTGAAGAGCGTCGAAAGAAAAGTGGGTCATTCCTTGAAGAGAATCAGCCGGCTGCCACTCCTCTTGTTGGATTTCCCCACAGCAGAAAGGACTTTGGCTTAAGAGTCTCTTACAAGGTCATTTAATGTGAACAAGGTCATTTAGTGTCAGACCTATCACTGCGGTTGGTAAGCCCAGGAGCTCCAAGCTGAGGTGGAATGACCACAGGTACCCTATTTCCTAGCTTGTTGCTCTTCCCTTCTCATCCCCAGTCCAACAGGCTCTGGAGGCTCATGTGTGCAAGTCGGTGACCACCTCACACAGGCTGCCTTGTGGGCCCTCGCCCATCTCAAGAGAAAGCTGTGAGGAGCTGGGCTGTTGCTACAGCTCCAGAGAGGAAGGGGGCTCCTGTTACTATGGAAACCAAGGTGTGTGGGGCCCTCTGCCGGGGTGGGGGTGGAGGGGAAGCATCAGCGACCTTCTATGAAACCAGAGGACAGCATTGCTCACAAGGCCTAATACACAGAGCATGAGTGAGCAATGCTAGCTAGAACCCGGGCCTCCCTCTAAGGAACAGAGCACTCTATTGCCTTCTGTTGGCTGATTGTTCCCCAGAATTAAACCATGAAACCAACACTCAGACCTTCCTTAAAAAATTAAGTCTAGCAGGGCGCTGGTGGCTCCTGCCTGTCATCCTAGCTACTCAGGAGGCTGAGATCTGAGGATCATGGTTCAAAGCCAGCCCAGGCAGGAAAGTCCCTGAGACTCTTATCTCCAATAAACCACTAGAAAACTGGAAGTGGTGCTGTGGCTAAAGTGGTAGAGTGCTTGCCTTGAGCTGAAAAGCTGAGGGACAGTGCCCAGGACCAGAGTTCAAGCCCCACGACTGACCAAAAAAAAAAAAAGAAATTAAGTCTAGGTGCCAGGTATTGCTAATGGATGGAAAAGAAGTCATTTCCACTACCACCCCCAAAGAATAACAACTTTGGAGGCTGATAGGTTGAATGTGGCTTTAGAATCCTAATCCCAGATTACTTCTGTCACAGGCTCCAAATCATGCACACCTGCGCACACACCCACACAACACACGGTCTCCCAATCAAAATCTCTCCATGTGCCACACTCCATCTGCATTCTCCCAGAGCAGGAAGAGCAGGTGCCACCCCATCCTGCTTTACAAACAGGATGCTGAGCAGGAGGTCAAACCCACAGTGAGGACCACAAGTGAGACCTGGGCCCAAGCAGGCCAAGTCGTCTTCCTTATTCCTTAAGCTATGGACGGCTGGGCCTGCTGCAGGCTCACCCCTAGGAATCGAATCCACCCAGCCGCTAGGACTGGGGGTCACAAGCCGCTGAGCTGAGTTGGATCGAGGGCACAAGGCAGACTCGCAGCTTCTCTTGTTGCAGTGACCACACACTGTTCCCAGGAGGGTGGTTTCTCCATCGCCGTGTCCAGGAACGTGGTGTCGCCTCCCCTGCGCTTGGATTCAGTGCACCTGATCCTCAGGAATGAGAGTGGGTGTGGCCCTGTGGTGACCACGCCCAACTTTGTTTTCTTCCGGTTTCCCTTCACTTCCTGTGGGACCACAAGAAGGGTGAGGACAGCTCTGGGGATGGGGAAGGAATGGCCTGTAGCTGGTAGGGGAGAGCTGGGATGTCCTGGCCAGGAAGGGTGGTCCAGAGTCTTCTCTGCTGGAATCAAGCCAGGAGAACGTGTCCTCAGAGAATTCTAATTTCCCCCTTTGTGTGTAGCTGGGACACAGCTTCTTATAGTGAGCTACTGAGAAGACCCATAAGAGGCCACCACCAGTCACCTGATCAGGGACCCGGCAGAGAGGCAGGGATGCTATTTCTGCCTGCTCACACCATGCAAGCCCCAGAAGGGGACGTGGAGTTTAGCTGAGAAGCAGTGGGACCCTCTGAGGACAAAGGTACCCAGCAGGCAGGAGAGACAGCCTTCTCTTTATCTGCCCTTGCAGGTCGTTGGAGACCAGGCAGTGTATGAAAATGAGCTTGCAGCCACCAGGGAAGTGAGAGCATGGGGCCACGCATCCATCACCCGAGACAGCGACTTCAGGTAAAGCCTGTGGGCCTTGACCTTGAGAGGCCGGAATGCCTTTCCTAGGGCAAACCTTCAACCTACACCATGCTTACCAACCACAGGAAGTACTGTCCACCGCCTCTCGCAGATCTGGCCAACCGTTTCCTTACATCCATGGCCACCAACGCCACCCCAGGACCTCTGCTCTCCTGCTGCTTCTGTGTCTCATCTGGACATTCCCTTCTACCTCCCCTGTCCACACTGAGGCCAGAAGGACCCCTTTAAGACCTGACCTTGCCAGATCTCACCCTTGGGAAGTTTCTGGTCTTTTCCCTAGCTGAAAACTAACATGACCATAACCTTCAGGGCCTTGTATAAAACTAGCCCCACTTCCCAGACGGGGACTCCAACTCCCACTGCCTCACTTACTCTTTTGGCCCAGGTTGGGCCTTCCATGGGGCTCCCGATGGACCCAGCATTGTATGTGGCCTCTCATTATCCTCTGTCAGGTGCTCCCTCCTGCACATCCCTTCAGTGGTTTTCACTCTTGTTCCTATCAAGTTACCTCTAAGCTGTCCTTGAACACTTTCTTTGCAGCAGGAGCTCAGGGTACCATGGTACCATGTTTATTTCTTCTGGAGGGGGGGTGGTCTCATCTCCAACACACTCCTGCCTACATACTGGTCAGCCCAACTAAAATAACAACTCTACAGGGGCAGACACCACGTCTGTCACACTTGAGAAACATTCTAGCACTTGATGACAACCCAGGAGTGAACATAAAAGGAGGTGGGGTCCATCCCTCCCAGCCAACTGGCTGAATGTGGCCTTTATTGTTTATTCCTCCTGTAGACTCCGAGTCAGCTGTAGCTACTCTGTGAACAGCGACAAACTCCCAGTTCACATCCGGGTGTTCACGGTCTCACCACCGCCTCCTAAGACCCGGCCCGGACCCCTCACGATGGAGCTCAGGATTGCCAAGGGTAAGGAGCCTTGCCACTGAAGTGTACAGCTACAAGTCCCAACCCTGGCCCTCTTCTGGGCATGGCCACCCGCACTTAGTAACTGCACACTTTGTCGAAGTATCTAGGGGTGGAATACATGGTCTTGAGTGATGCGTAGGCTCCTGGTTCTCTCTTGACCCGATTCAATTTTGCTCTGGGGCTTCCTACAGATAAAAGCTATGGCTCGTACTATTCCATGCGTGACTACCCCGTGGTGAAGTCGCTTCGGGATCCCATTTATGTGGAGGTGTCCATCCTTCACAGGACGGACCCCCAGCTGGGGCTGATCCTACAGCAGTGCTGGGCCACGCCCAGCCCCAATCCCCGGCACAGGCGGCAGTGGCCCATCCTGGTGAAAGGGTGAGTGGCTGTCCTGTATGTCCGTGTGGATCCGGAACCGGAGCCCATCCTGACGGCTGGGTCTCTTGACTTAGATGCCCCTATGCTGGAGACAACTATCAGACACAGCAGATCCCCGTCCAGGGGGCCACGCGCTTCCCCTCCCACCACCGGCGCTTCAGCATCTCTACCTTCAGCTTCATGAACTCTACCCAGGCGGGAAAGGCCCTGGGGGGTCAGGTAGGGCCCTCCCTCCGTGACTTCCATTCCTCTGCAGGGATCTGAACTCCCACAACTTAGGACAGGTCCTCCATCCTACTGCAGTCCCGCCTCCCAGCTGTAGGTAGTACCCCACGGTAACCTTGGTACCACTGACGTCTGCCATGGTGGCATCTGCATGGAGAGAATATAATTTTCTCAGCTGCTTTCCCAGGGAGAACAAAGCATGCTGGGCAACCAGTGGCCTGGAGTTGTAGAATACAATCCAAGTTCTTTTGGCTTTCAGGTGTACCTGCACTGCAGCACAACCGTCTGCCAGCCTGCAGGGGCCCCGTCCTGTGTGGTATCCTGCCCTGTGTCCAGCCGTGAGTACTTCGGCTTCCTACATCAACCACAGACCTCGAGGAACCTTGAGTCTCCCTTCTAAGCATTGTCAACCTCTAGCTGAGTGACTCCATCCAAGGTTCACCTTACTACTCCAGCCTCTGTCAGTGCTGACAATGCATTAGAACAGACACGCAGATCCCCGGATTCTCAGGGTTTTGTTTTGTTTTTTAAGATACAAGTTATAAATACTCAAGATCATTCAACATAAAGACCTTTGCCCATACAAACTGACTCCTCTAGAAAACAAACCAGGCTACAGCCTATACCAAGCTTACAGTGACATTTGTATTTAGCTAGTTCCCTGAAGTAAACGTCTACAGGGAAATGAGAAGGCAGGAAGGCAGATCTGCAACAGACTTCTAAGTGTATTCTCAAGTTGTGGTTCAGAGTTCCCAGTATGTGCGTGTGTACACCCAACTTACTAATTCTCACCTGTCTTGTCTCTTCACTGGGATTCATGATGACCAAGAGTTTTGAGGCCCTTCTAGCACAAAAACAAAACACTACTGTGAACTGAAATGGTAGTTACCGGGCAAGGCACTAAATGCTTCTCATCTAATTCTGATGTAGTCTATTACCCCACTTCTAAAGGACTAAATCTCAGACTGACTTTTTCAAGATGCTGTAACAGACCAATAGAAGTAGGATGCAAACAGCTCTGTTCTCACTTCCTGCTTTTATAGATAGTACTTCCCTAAGATACAGATCCCCTATGTACTGATCTCTGGGGAAATGGAGGTTAACTGTAGCTACAACTCCTCAGAACGTGCTCAAGTTTATACTCACACACCCAGGTGAGGGTTCTATAAGGTGTACCATGACCTATACCATAACCCTCCTGTGTAGAAAAATTCTAACCAATAACTCATTTTTCTCTCCGCAACAGGAAGAGGAAAATCTGGCCTCTATTTTGAGAACAGTACTGCCAGCATTTCTAGCAATGGCCCCATGATTCTACTCCAGTCTGCTGTGGACCCGCCAGAAGAGCTGAATAAATACCCCAGTAAGTGGGAAGAGAATCAACAGTCCAAAACAAAGCTGCTTCCCGGTGGGGCATGGCGCTACTACCTGTAATTTTGGTGCTGGGGGGGGGGTGAAAGGAGGGGGCAGAGACAGGAGAAAGGAGGGGTTCTAGCCTAGCTGGAGCTATGTAGTGAGACCTGATCTCCCAAACCCAAAGGAAACAAGAGTTACTTCCTTGCTCGCTCCTGGCTGTCCATGACTGATCAGGGTCTTCAGTTTGAGGGAGACTTCTGCGCAGATCACTTGGCACATTGATAACCCACTTTCCTGTCTTCCAGGCACGCCTGCAGATTCCCCGGCTCTGTGGGTGGCAGGAATTTCTGGCTCCCTGATCATCATGGGGGCCTTGTGCGTGTCCTTCCTGGCTCTCAGAAAACAGACAAGCTACTGCAACCAGATGTGTTAAATAAAAACCAGACTGTATTCCTAATGTGTGCTGAGCCTGTCACTCATGAGATAGAGCTAATCTAACAGGAGCCTGTCTGTCCTGGGCATCTGGTCTGACCAGCTCAGGCCCGCATTGTATCCAAGAAAAGAATTTTTTAAAAATGATAAGACATGGCATCTTCATATTCCAGCTCTACTAGCTAGCTTCTGGTAGAATACAATTCAACTATATAATTATATAATTTATAATAGGTATTATAATTTATATATGTATCTGAACTAAATATCTCATGTTTTATAAAGCTAACAAGAGTGTAGACCAAAACCCTCCCACATGAGTAACCACAGAGACAGGGCTCGTCGTCTTCAGGTACTAAGGAACATTTAGACTGCTCATCCATATCTTTCACTGGGTGTTAGGATCATAGCAGCCTGGTTAAGAACACTTACTGGAAGCTAGGTGTGATGGCGCACACCTATAATCCCAGCACATAGGAGGCTGAGCCAGCAGAGTTCCAGGGAAGTTTGGGCTGCATATTTAGAACCTGTCTCAATAAAACAGCTGGGCATGTAGATCTGTGGCAGAACACCAATCTCAAATGTCCAAGACCCTGAGTTCAAACCCCAGTTTGGAAAATTAAAGGCACTCTCCTCATTCCTAGTGTCCACTCAGTAAGCCTGGACTAAGGTGGAAGCTTGCATTTCTAACTACCTCCCACAGTGTGTAATCAGTCAAACCTCGGCATCCTAAAAAACATCTAGAACACTGACTAAAAGAAAGCATCTGACTGGGTTTGATTAGCTGGAGCTGGCTTACTTGAAAGAACCTTAGTTTAGAGATGATGTGGTAGTTCACACCTGTAATCCCAGATCTGTGGGAAGAATGGGTAGAAGGATCACGATCTAAAGCTAGCCATGGACAAAAGCATAAAACTATCTGAAAAAGTGTAAAAAGGAAGGAGGCATGACTCTACTGGCAGCATTTTCCTCAAAAGCATGAGGCCCTGAGTTAAAATGCCAGTACTGTACAGGTGGGTCAGGGGGTGGGAGGGGAGAAGTTTTAGCTTTGAGCCAGAACTGATGAGCAATCGCCTACAGTTCAGTAGTTAAGACTGGTAGGAAGGATGAAGACAGGATCTATCCCTAACTTGACAAGATGAATGGTTCAAAGAACTTTCTAGAAAGTGATGCTATTGGTCCTAAGCTAGAGTATTGTCTTCCTCCCACAGTAATGTCTGGAATGGTCTCAACTGACATCTCCTTACCCTAGTTGTCACCCTTCAAGTAGCAGCAGCTTTGTTGTTACCAATCTCACTTCGAACTGGGTCTCAGTGGAGAAAGAATGCAGGATGCTTTTTTATCCTGCCAGAGATTTCTACATGCTACATGCTCTTCATGAGACAGCAAGGGCCCCCGGTGCTTGCTGCAAGTGTTCTTGAACCTCAAGACCGTTGACAGTTGGCATTTAGCCTCCATGTCTGTAATCTGGGACAGATGAAGGACGAATAGCCCACCCAGTGAACGCAGCTCTGGACTTGTGTTCTTCACTCCATATCATACTGGAAAGACATGGAGATGGAATTCTAGTCTATTTCTTGAATGTATTCTTCCATGGTACAACCTGGTGACTAGAGTGAGGAACAATGTTTAGAGGTCTTGAAAAGCACTATGAAAGCACACATTTGATGTACGATCACACAAGAAAAGGATGTAGAGTCATGGAAATGTTAATCGGCTCCATTTAGCTATTGTACAAAGCATACATAGTTTAAAACTTGTCAGAATGTTTTTTTCTTCCATGCGATTGTTTCTAACACATTTATAAGATGATTTCTTTGTTGCTTTGTATGTCCCTCCCCCACGGTATAACCCCCGCTTTCACTGTATTTGATGTTGTTATAATCTGTGGAGGGGAAGGGAAAAAACAAATCATTTAAATAGGGATACAGGTGTACCCATTGCAACAATGAGACAAACAAGTTGTTATGTCGAAAACAAACTTTACAGTTTTAGTAGGGGTGGAGGAGGATGGGATAGGAAGGGAAACAAAGGAAGAGGCTACAATGCTTGATAAGAAATGTACTCATTATCTTGCCCATATAATTGTAACCCCTCTGTACAGTATTTTCACAATAAAAAGACATGATCAATGTACATAATCTTGATCAACTGCAAAAACAATTTAAGCCTGTTAAAAAGGTAGCACCTTCTCCCCCTCAGACAGGTAAGAGACCCTAGGCAGAGAAGGTGGCCACCAGGAGAGGGAATTCTCCTTTTTGTACCCAGACTTCATCGTGTCAGACTTTCCTCCTGAAATTCTTGCCATTGTCTGGGATGCACAAGGTAAGAGCTCAGGAAACGTTTGCTGTGGGAGATTGCACCAAACTATGCCACCATCTAACCAGATTCAATGAAACCTAGAAGAGAAAGTCAAGGCTGAATTCGAACCAAAACATGGTTGTTTCTTCACATAGGAACTTGAGCCCAGTGGTCTCTTTTGAGGCTGACAAATGATCTGCCTCCGACAGCAGCCCCCTTCCTAGCTTTGTGACCCCAGGACAAAAGCACCTGATATGCAAGCCTGGAGAAACCTTTTGGCTACAGAAGGTCATGCAACTCTGGATGATATGGAAATCCTCAGACTCCAGGTTTCCTACTGAGAGGCCCACAAACCCCTTGCTCCCTTTGAGAAAATGTACTTACACACAATAATAGTAAGCATCAGGTGTCGTCAGCTTCAATCTGAGGACAACTCTGGTGTGGTCTTCTGTTAGTAAAACTGACCCTTGCCTTTGCAAACATGCTGTGACTAGCTGTTTTCACTCAAGACACTAATTTCCAACATGATAGCACACGTCGGCACTTCACTCCTTTTTTTTTCTTTTTTTTTTAAATTTAAATTTTTATTTTTTGTGAACATACTGTACAGAGGGGTTACAATTACATGGGCAAGATAATGAGTACATTTCTTATCAAGTATTGCAACCTCCTCCTTTGTTTACCCTTCACATCCCTTCCCAGCCTCCCCCCACCCCCCCACCCAATCCCCCCCACACACCAAAGTTGTAAAGTTCGTTTTCGACATGACAACTTGTCCTTCTCATAGTTGCAACGGGTCCACCTGTATCCTTAAAGGACTTGTTTTTCCCCATCTCCTCCACAAATTATACCGACATCAAATATAGTGAAAGCAGAGGTTATACTGTGGGGGAGGAACATACAAAGCAACAAAGAAATAATCTTATAAATGAGTTAGAAACAAATGCATGAAAGAAAAAACCTTAAAATACATATCTAAGGGTTCATTTTCCTAACATCACATTATCTGACCTTTTCTGCTTGACTCATACATATACTAGATATTGCAAATAAGGGAAACCATGGGACCTATGTTTCTTTGGGCTTGGCTTACTTCACTTATATAATTTTTTCCAAGTCTTTCCATTTCCTAACAAATGGGGCAATGTCATTCTTTCTGATGGAGGCATAGAATTCCATTGTGTATATATACCACATTTTCTTGATCCATTCATCTACTGAGGGGCATCTGGGTTGGTTCCATATCTTAGCTATGGTAAATAATACTGTAATAAACATGGTTGTGCTGGTAGCTTTAGTGTGGTCTTGTTTGTAAACATTTGGGTAAATGCCCAAAAGTGGGATTGCTGGGTCATAGGGGGACTCTATGACTTCACTCCTTTTTATGGCTAAACAAGATCCCACTGTTCCCTCTTTGCCTACCCATTTATTAGCTGATGGATATTTGGGTTGTTCCACTCATAGGCTACTGGGAACTGGCTGTGGATATTCAAGCACAAGTCCTTATGTGGATGTATCATTCATATAGTTTCTCTTCAATATATGCCTTGGAGTAGAATTTCTGGGTCCTAGGATTGTTCTTTTGGTATCTTCTTTTTGTCTTTAGTTTCCAATCAGTCCTAATGAGGTTTCTTTAACAAAAAGGTATCAAGAAAATTAAAAGGGTTCTTTATCCTACTGTAAAAGACTGGCCTAGCCAAAGTATAAAAAAATTCAAACTATACAGGAAAGCACAAGTATGCACAGTGGGCCTTTAGTTTACACAAGTGTGACAGCTCTGTTCAGGTCCCCATTTCTAGTTGCCACTATTAGTTTTCTCTCTGTATCCATGAAGTCTCTCTGATTCCAATGACCTGTGGCCCTCATAGAAGATGGCCACGGGAGAAACAACATGAATATGAGCTTCAGGAGACCAAAGCAGAGTCTTTTCCTGTGGCATCTCCTCACAATACTCTACACCGGACAGCCTAGCTCCCACGAGGACTTGGATTGGACCAGGTGGGCAGGGGGAGTACCTGTGTTGACTTTTCTTGCAGAGTCCTCTAGAGCACACACACACGGGCAGCACACAGGTGCTTCTATGTACTTGCTGGGTTCTGCATATGGCTGCAGCTCTTAACAATGCTCTGGGCACTCTTCCTCAGACCCTGCATGATTATATACTACACCCAGTATTTGCTATTATCCAGAAGGCTACAGAGAGGAGACAAGAAAGTGTTTACTAATAAGTCCATGCCTAATGAGGGTCAAGGATGTGGCCTTCTGTGAAAGGCACACTTAAATTCCATGAGTCAGCCATCTTTGCAATTCCCACAACGAGCACCTGGCTTCGTCTATTGAGGTGACTTTTGTGAGGTGACATTGAGACCACAGACGCTCTGGGGTGAAGCAGCGCTCTTGGTCCCAGGCCAATCAATGCGCTGCTCTGTGTTTCCTGGGAGTAAGCCTTTCCTGATTTCAACAAAGGCCTTTGCCTCGCAAGACTGCCTCCGTTGACGTTCTAGCCTCTAACTCCAAGCATCATGTTTGCTTAATCAAAAAATGTCATTACTTAGAATAGCTTTTTGAAAATTATAGAAGCACTTCTGCCATGACGGTCTGGGGCAAGAGGACAGCAGAATACAGTCATGGAAGAGTAGTCAGGGCACCCAGTCTACATTTTTTAAATATTGAAAGGTATATTACATGCTAACGATGCCC